GTTACGAAACTTGCTGCGCAAGCGCAATAGCGCATTCCCGTGGTCTTATGCGCCTTCCTCCTCCTGACAGCCTGTGGTTTGTGTTATCAACGTGGTACTTGGCTACAACTCTTCTCTTTTCCCTCGACACGACAAGACTTCTCTCGGAAAGACCCCAGACATGCTGTCGTTGACGCTGAGGCAGTTTGCGCGTGTAAGTACCAAGCGTTGAAAAGTCTGTCGCTTTTCTTTATCAAACATAGTTCTCGCAGTAAATAGTGTGAGACGTAAACACGAGTGTTCAGTTTCGAAAAGTGCAGTGCAGCAAAAAGCAAGAGAGCAGGCTTCTTCTTTCCCTTTGACTTGAGCTATTGCCTTTTTTTTATACAAGCCGATATACAGTATATTATTCGTCCCAAGAGCCTGTCAGTGAAGTGGCTGTGGACTAAACAAGCTTTGATCTGCGAAGAAGACAGTTGTGGTGGTTTTGCTGTTAAAACACGTGTGACCTGGACGATTCAATACAGTGCTTATCCAGTGCAATAATGGCACATGCGTTATGGCTGCCAGGCGCCCAGGCTCTCTCAGGCTGTGCCGCCCGTCCTCCTTTGCCGAGGTCTGTGTGTGTTGAGCGCCGAGACGTGGCACCGTCTCCTCTGCAAGAGCCACTGCAGCAACTTTCTGCTCCAGTAGTTTCTTCAGCCTCTTATGAGCTGCTACTCGGCTCAGTCCCGCTCCCCCCAGCTGCACTCAAGGTGCTGATGATACCGCCGTGGTTATTTCTTGCTGAACTGATATCGATTTGTTTCTGCTTTTACAACTAGTGGGTAGTTGCGAAACTTTGTACCTTGTATCGATCGACTTCGTTATATAACCTTTTTTTTTTCGCGTGCTGGAAAAGTGAAAGTTGACGATTAGTTTCCTCGCTTTGACTGTAAATCTATATCTTCAGTGAGTCCATGCTGTATGAATGTGAGCTTTCTTTATATAGAATAAATTAAACGTTAGTGCTTTTGTACTGCGGGACTGCGTTTACCTGGATTGCTTGAAAAGGGACGGGGGTGTTTTTTTGTGTAATTTTAAGAGAAAATTGAGGAGCCTTCAAACTTTTTTTTTTGCCGGCTTCCCAACAGCTGAGTGCACTTTCCAAGCTGGCACCTCACATGATGCAACCGCAGACGAGCAGTTTCATCATCCTGAATCTTAAAAACCGCGGCTGCAAAACTAAAGAGAGTAAAAAAAAAAAGATCGTGTCGGCGACCCAACTTAACTAGTCGTAACTCCTTGTCAGAATTAGGAATTGGCGGTTTAGAAAGTTCGCAAAGTTTTTTTTTAGTTATTATATTTTAAAAAGTGCTTACGTGTACATAATAATCTGATTCGGACATCATTAAGTGTTAGCTGTTTTTATTCCGGAGTTTTGTGGAGGGTTACTTTGTGATTTACTTTTGCCTTTATCGTCAGGCGCTAATGATCTATTTTAATGTGAAGAAAATTAAAATAGATGGTCAGTGTAGGTCATCAGCGTTTGGACCAGTGGTATATTCTACAGTTACAAAAGACACAACAGAGGTAAAGCCTACTCGAGTATAATTACATCACAAGACTTAGAATCATTTTCAAATTGTGCTGGCCGACACAAGCCGACCAAAAGGTGTTGGGATAGTCCAGCGATATGGTCTACAGCTGTCAAGAAAGAAGTTCACCTGAAGAAGGCTCCACGGCCGAAACGCTGTGTTTTCTTTCTTCTTTTTTTTCAGCATGGAATAAACCTATTACTTGTTCCTTCAAGAAAGAAGTTGGGTCGGTCACTTTCGTCCAGTAATGATTCTGTTTGCCTTACAGAGATGCGGGTTCCCTTCCACAGCTGGTGTTGGTCTAATTCTGATCACATCTGGTGTTGTACTCCATCTGCAATAAAGTCTTGGATATTAGTCTGAATATGCATCGTTACCAGGTTTATGGGTCTCTCTGTGAATTGGGCCCAGGTCTGCTGGCAGTGGGCTCCCTCTTGGTGTTGATCAGCCTCGTGTGCTGCTTTCTGCGCAGTTTAAAAACACAAGAGTGTCATTTGTAAGGGGAGCTGCCAGAGCGTCCTTGAACCGTCCGCATGCGACAATGTTTTATCCCGCTGCGCTGACAGGAAGCCAGGTAATCGTCTGTAATGAAGTGCGCGACCTTGTGAAAAATATACTGCCTTGTTTTTTTTTTATGTGTTTTTCTGTCGTTATGCGAGCCGCGCGCGGTACTGCTGCAGCACAGGCCGGTGTAATGAATGATGTCTCGGGACTAAGGGAGGCCGTTTCTCCAGCTCCTCCCCCCCTCCGTCTGTCCCAGCGTCCTTACCTGTGCTGCGCATGTGACACCGTGGGCGTTGGAGGGGGGCCTGATCAGAGGGGCTGGCAGCTCACCCCCCCATACCCCCCCCCCCTCCAGCTGAAGTTTGTGGAGGTTAAGAATGAAGGAGGGGTGACACCAGGCACCTCAGAAGCCTTGAGGGTCTGGTGATCATGCTGGGCATGTGTCTGTGTCTTCGCCCCACTCCAGGTTGTCCCAGAGCTGGGTGGCTGTGGAGTCTGGCGCGTGCTCCAGGCTTCCTGTCCCGCGATCCGGTTCTGGTTCGGGGCTGCGTGCTGGCTTGCCCAAACCGGGTCCGGATTAAATCCGGGCGTTAGCTGGGGAATCGGGGCTGAAAAACGGCGCGGAGGCAGTCCACACCTGAGCACGGGCCGGTCCTACAGAAACCTCACTGTGTCTGTGTTTTTTCCTGGTTTGGCTTTGAAGAGAACAGGAATTGTAGGGAAAAAAAAAAAACAGCTGTTCTAGTAACGTACCTGTTTCCAAGTGCTGTTCCAATGCACCTGTTTCCTGCTGCATTGCCTTATTCCAGGATAAACGCCATAGTGGGGATGGACTGTAAAAGGAGCTGGGCGACTGATCATTCATTAAATGCAGGACTGAGCAGCAGCAGCAGCCAGCACTGCCTGACTGTAATGACTTGGGCATGTAGCCTTTGTAACCTATAGAGGCCTTCATTATCTTGAAAAATGTGCATGGCGGGTTGACCGCAGAGCAGGGGTGCACATTCCCAGTCCCGGAAGGCCTGAGGTTTTTCTGGTCTTCATTCCATCTGAGCCCTTCATTACCTAATGGGACCCCTTATTTGTTTAATCGGACAAGTTGAAGCCTTGCCCAGTTGTGGAGAAGCTGAAGATTTGTAGAGACCCTGTAAAACCTGCTGGGCACCAGCCCCTGGGGAGCGGAGTCGGGCGCCCCCTGCTGGAGGGGGGAAGTTACAGTTCCAGCGGTGGCTTGGCTGCTTTCTTGACAAAAGGGCCTTCGGGGGTGCTTCAGTCAGGAAACGAGACCGTCCCAGAGCAGAGCTGCCGGAAGAGCGCTGTAACTGACGTTACAGGCGGAGATTGAAGAGAGCTGCTCTCTGGTACACAAGTCACCTTGAAATCAAGGGAGCCTGTGGGGTCCTGCTGGAAGAGGTGGGCAGCCTCCCTCCCCCAGAATGTGCACATGCTCCCAGATGTTGATTTGTACCCGGGATGGGCAGAGTCTATTTTCCATGGCTGAAAGTTAGCGATTGATTTAAGGCCTAAGCTGAAATCCCAACAGACCCATTGAGTTATTGGTAATTGTTTGGAGATGGGCTGAAATCCCCTATGTAAACCGCAACAAAATACCCTCCTGGATATAGAAAATTACAAACTTGTTTTTTTTTTTAAAGAAGGCTCAGCTCTCCAAATTGACCATCACGTGCTCGCCTGTCAACAAAAAAATAAGTTGCACTGTTCCATAGGGTGGATCGCAAAAAAAAACCCCACTATTAGCTACCTGTAAATGCGATTCGTTTATAGATCCATTAGCTAAAGGCTTTGTTTCGATTCTTAACTCTACTGCCCCCCTCTTCGAAAAAAGCCGGGGGAGCAGTTGAGCGAGCAGTCATTGAGGAGAGCAGAGCAGCTCGCCTGGTCTAAACAAGGCCCGGAGAGCAGGTCTGCTGTGTCACGCCCTGTCCCTTGTCCCTGCGCCCTGTTCCTCTGATTCGGCACGCTGTGCCATCTGCATGTCTCCACACAACTGACTTCAAAATCTGCTGGATTTTTCTTCGCTGCCCTCTAGCTGATTCACATACAGTAAGAGGTTTCTTATGGAGCTTTAAAAAAGGCCGTGCTTTGGCCCAAGTGATAAGCTAGCGAGACTCGCCCCCACCCGCAGTGAGACGAGACGAGAGGAGAGATGGATCTGGGAGTTGGGTAGGAGAAGGGGGTTCTTTGGGGTGGTCATTGGACACACTGCACACATCTTTGCTTTAGGCTCTGACCTTCAAAGTTCCCTTTTTTATAGTTCATTTTTTTCCAGAAATAACTTTTCCTTTTGAAAAAAGACATTCATGTTAATTAAGTTCACGTTGAATGATTTTTCCACTCAGCTGTACTGAGCTGATTGATTTTTAAAGGCTTCGATGCCATGTGCTCTAGTAGAACGTAGAAGAGAGACTCCTAATGTCTAGTTTTTCCTTTTTTTTTTAGCATTTGTTGTTTGGAACGAAACTAAAGTGACAATCCTAATAGGGAACAGGAAGTATATCATTTCTAGCTATAACCCCGAACCTCAAGGACTGTGTAATGGGCTCGAGTTTTGGTAAATCTAATTATAATAAGTGCAGATGAAAGGCGTTGTGATTCACATGATCAGGAATTTCACTGAACCCAAAAACACAAGACACTTAACAAACGAGAGGAGACTGACCCATATGCAGTAGCTTGTCTGGCTGCTAGTAACTGATCTAAGAATCTCGGTCGAGCTGTTCTTTTAAAAGGTGCCAGGGGTTCGACTGCATAGAGGAATGGCTTGTTCCTCCTGTTCTCAGTATTATTAAACACACTTCTCTATAGTTTCTGCTGGTGCATTCTGGTTCATGTTTCACTGTTCTGGAACTTCGAACTTGCTTATGAAGACGTCCACTGGGTTGTGTCTGATTCCCCTTGTAGTCCTCTGTGTGCGAGATCAAAAAGATTCAGATCCTGACAGTGGAGGACATTCCTAAAGTGTCCAGGAATGCATCTGATTCTTCATCAGCCTGGATAACATGTTATGGGCCAAATCCAGCAAATGTATTCTTCCATATGGACGTGCCCCTTCATGGTTTCAAACTGCACTTTTGACTGTGTAGTTGATACAATAGTTTTACTGCATACCAGA